CGGCCGGCACCTGCCTCCGTTCACAGAGCGAGATAGAGAGGAGGAGAGGCAAAGGTTTTTGCAGCCCCCACCCCCCACCCCCCACTTTTCTCCGACGTTATATCGAGGACGACCCCCTTTCCATGCTCCGCTTTTCCTCTTCCCATCCTTTCGGACGGGTAGTGCGCCCCGAGGTGCGCCCCCTGCACCTCTTGCACCACACCGTGCGCCTCGCATAAAATCGATATAGTCCGTCAAGAGAGTCGACAAGCCCTGTTCGGGGGTTTGTGTGTTTGTGAGTGTGTGGTCTTTGTTTGCACGAGAGTGAGCTGACCGGGCCTCGTGGCTGCCTCCTTGTCGGAGGCTGGCGTTCGACGATAGCCACAGGCAGCCATACATCTCGCAATTCTGTTTGTGAGTTGCTGGGTAGCCTACAATGTCATACTGACTTCTCTACGAACCCTGCTTATACAGTATTCCTGACGGTTAAAAAATGTGCCTGCTATACTCTAAACGCCATGGTCGTGGTAGCATTGGTTGCAAAAATTTTGTCATCTCGGCATTCGTTACTGAATGCCAGATTGTAACCCTCTTTTAGAGACTGTCTTTCTTTGGCGTCTTTGCTTGCCTTTCAGAAAAGGAGAGCCAAAATTTTGATAAGCAGGGTGACTCCACGGGCGTTAAGTTTTGCTAATCTGTACGCAATAAATCCGTTTAACGTTCGTGACAATTCCTGCTCCTGCTGCCAAGTTGGTCATACAAACGTACCTAACCTATGCAAAGAAACACAAAACCTGAAGATAGGTCTGAGAGTGTACCAGGACAGGCAGCCTCTCTACATACTCCCAAGGGAAACTTGCCCCTTTTTTGTCTTTATATTATAGGGGCTTTTTCATTCCTATTCACTTTGTGTTTCGACGCCCAAGCGCGCGTTGGGCGAAGGGGGAGCAAAAATTTTCACGCAAGACCCCCTTGCTTGCAGCGCTGTGTCCGGGCTGTGCCGCTCTAGGAAGGCTTTGTGCGGGGGATGGCCGTGCATTCTGCCGGTATATATGCGCTTCGACACTGCGCCCGCCGTGCAGGCACCCAACGTAAACAATACACCTTTATATCTCCCCGAGAAGGGGGGCAAAAAAATGAAAAATCGCAGCGGTACGGGCGGGCTGGCTGCGCTGGCTGCGCTGCTGGCTCCGCATGCGCCGGCGCGCGCACACACACGGCACACACACTTTGTTCCAACGCACAATCGCTGCCGGCCTTTGTGCCCCTCGGCGGCGCTGCGGCACAATACCCGCCTCGAATCAATCTACCTGGAGCAAAAAGAACAAATTGCGAGCGCGCGCGAAACCTCGCCGGCGGCCGCGTCCGGATCGAGAACCAAAGCCAGCATCCAGGAGGGGGGGGGAGGGGAGGGGTTGCAACCGCGGCACGCACGGGAGCGGCATGCAAACGGGAGGGGATCAAGGAGCAGAGGGGAGCGGGGGCGTGCGCGTCGAGGGTCGGGGGAGGGATGCGGCGCAGGGCAGGTTGAAGGACTGAAGCACGCGGCGGGCCGCCCGCCACCGCCGCCGACAGCCCCGCCCCGCCCCCGCCACCGCCACACTTCGCCACGCCGGGAGAAAGAGAGCGGCCCAGACTGATCGAACGGCGGCAACAAACGGTGGAGCAGAGATATTTCCACCGCCAAGAGTAGCTCGACACGTTGTGGCGATAGTGAGGCAGGCGGACGAGGAGGAAGAGCGGCCGAGTGGAGAGGAGGGGGAGAAACAGCGGAAATAGCGCCAACATGACTCGGCAAGCTTTTAAGGGAGTGGCGTCGAAGCGATGGAAGCAAGAGGGGCGCCGGCAAATCGCGTGTGAATATTGGCTTTATCTATTTTTTACGATTTTTTTTCCCCGCCGGCGGCAGGACGCGAACGCGGCGGCGCAGCGCCCCAAGATGACTTTGTTTTTCTTTCGCAACAGCAAGGAGGAGGCAGATTCGCTTTGCATGAGCGGCGCAAGCGGATTTGCGCGCAACTTCGCCGCAAACCAATTCACCCCGCTGGTCCTCTGTCACTCGCCGTGTACCGGAAGTATCGGAGCAGGATACTTCCGGTACATGCGCCCGCCGCACTCCGTGCGGAGCCGAGAGCTTCGCAGGTCGGATCTCGCGTCTCCAACCAAAGGGTGTGTGTGGGGGAAGCCGTTCTACTCGCGGTGCTGCAGGCTAACCGGGGCTAACACGTCATTCTCGCCCGGAAACGTCTCCAGCGCACTCACGCTATGGGGTCAACAGCTGGAGCGGGCCGGACTCGCCCGGCACAGGGGTGTGGTTTTATAGGGGGTGGAAGAAAGCACCCGCACACCTCCCTCCCCTTGACGACCAGCCGTGAGACACGTGCGAGGAAACAGGCATGTCGGACCAACTCGACCGCGTGCTGTACAACAATGCAAGGAAGTATGGCGACTACTGGACAAGTTGTTCCGTGCCAACCGCGTCCTCATGCTGCCTCAAAGGCTACACGCCGTTTTGCCGATCCACACTTTTTCACCCGTGTTAATTCGGCGGAAATTGCAGCGGCGTGCAAATGCCGTGCGGCACGCATCCAGGGAGGGTGACAGCCAATCCAATATCAGCGCGACTGGCCGTGCAGGCGCGGGGCCGCGGGGCGGCGGCGGCCAGGCTCGGCTGCATATTCGCACCGTGTTTTCGCGCTGTTTGTCGACCTCCCTGCCCCTCCCCTCCCCCCCC